CCCTCTCTGTGGATTGGAGACTAGCATCACGGGATGGATGTTGTGGTGGACGTGGCTTTTCTGGTGCCCCTTTACGTAGGATGTGGCTCCCATTAGCTGTGAGCCTCTTGTTCACTCCAGGGAGGGGATTGAGCCTCTGCAACCAGTCAGTCCGATTGAACACCTCCCACCGGGAAGGTCTGCATTGAGTGCCTCCGCTGGGCTCTCCATCCTTCTGTTGCGGGGAGAGGGAGGGCACGCTCCAAGGAACAGGCCTAACAAAGGGATTCTCTGCTCTGTCATGAAAAAAAAAGGTCGTGATGAGTAATCATCACCATTGTACAAAATAATTTCAGTTAATTTTATAGCGAATCTACACCTAATTTGCTAACCACCTGTGGGGTTGATGATAGCATAAAAAAATTGTCTAAGGCAGCGGTTCTCAACCTGTGGGTCACAACCCCTTTGAGGGTCAAACGACCTTTTCACAGGGGTCACCCGATTCATAACAGTAGCAAAATGACAGTTATGAAGTTGAAACAAAAGTAATTTTATGGTTGGGGGGTCACCACAGCATGAGGAACTGTATTAAAGGGTGGCGGCATTAGGAAGGTTGAGACCCACTGGTGTAAGGTGTGGCCCCTGATTCGATTATGGGTGATTTGGGTGAAAGGATCTTAGGATCCCATCAGTTCCATCCTGACATTTTATGAAAGGTTTTCTCACTGGTTAGAAACATAAGAGAGACTTCTTAGGAGGAATTTGACAGATTTATCGAGGTGGGGGCGGGGGGGCAGGGTGGACAAAAATTATTTCACCCGTGCCAATGCTAACTAGACTAACCATTCTCCAAGTCTTTATCTCTCAAAAGGTTGACCAAACAAACAAAAACCCCAGAAAATCTTTGCAGCGTAAGTTTTGTCAACATCACATTCTCTTTTCATTATGAGATAAACTATATTTTGGTCCTCAGCAACTAAGTCTAATCCGATTCTATCCTCTTTTTACTAAGACCTACTTCCTAGACTTTACTGCTGTAGGTGATCAAAAGCAGCACTCAGCTCTAGGCCTGTCTGACTGCTCCGTGTCGCTCTGAAGTGCGAGAATGCAAGGCCAGGCTGGTCGCTGGTTTAGTTTCCAGTCTGTCCCGTGACCCATACTTGGTTCTGAAAATGCTACTCTGCTGGCCACACAGTGAAGCTCAACCCTGGAGCTCAACACCTGAACTCTGTTGCCCCTTGTTCAGTGAGGCAGGCCCCTAGCCATCCTCTACTGGTTATACCAATGCCAAACTGCTAGACCCAACACACACTGGCCTCAGGTTGATTCCAATTCAAAGTGACCTAACAGGACTACATAGCGTGGCGCCATAAGATTTCCAAAGCTCTTAAGTCTTGATAGAAGCAAGGTGACCCATAATTCTCCCACAGTGCAGCTTGTGGGTTCAAACCACTGACCCTCCGTTAGCAGCCCAGCCCTTCACCCACAGCGCCACCATGGCTTCTTCCCAACCTCTCTGAATTTTCGAAGCCAGAATTTCAGTATTTACCTCATCACCATGTAACACACGGAATAGCAATGGTATGAAGCCCAGTGGAACTACAATATCTGTACTTTTTTTAAAAGATGGCCGCTTTGGGGACCAGCTATAAGCTTTGGGGAATAAGCTGTAATGCTTATTGCCATTTTTCTTCCTACTACATCTCCATCTGCTTTGGTAGCAAGTGGCCCTGCTCCAGCACCAACTGGCTCCCACAGTGACTGCACCATGGTTGCAACTGCCCAGGTGGTTCTAAGCAAATCACAGTGAAGACCCTTGCTTTCCCACAGGCTACCCATGAAGATGCACCCAACCAGAGAAAGGCTTTGCCTTTACCCACACTCAAATTAAATAGAACTAAGAAAGGTACTTGGGAGAGTGTGTTTTAAGATCATTTGTGGCCATTTCATCGTTGCTGTTAAGTGTTATGATGTCTGTTCTGACTCATCGGGACCCCGTGTTCAACAGAACGAAGCATCACCTGGCCCGGTGCCACCCTCTCAGTGGTTGCTAGGACTGAGCCCCTTGTTGCAGCCAGTGTGCCAGCCCATGTCTTGGAGGGGCTTCCTCTTTTTCACTAAGCTCTGCTTCACCAAGCATCGGGAGCGGGCTCTCCTGACAACAAAGTATGTAAGACCATCCTAGTTGCTAAGGAGCATTCCAGCTGTACTTCCTCTAAGACAGGTGTGCTGGTTCTGGTAGTACTTGGTACTTTTAATATTTTAAAACATATTTATGTCAACACCAGTGCATCGATTATTCTTCTGTCTTTCTTATTCACTGGCCAGCTTTCTTGTGCACATGATGTGACTGAAAATACCGTGGCTTCAATCAGGGGCACCTTAGTCCTCAAAGTGGCATCCGTGCTTTTAAACATTTGCAAGAGGTCTTGTGCAGCAGATTTACCCAGTGCAAAACCTTGTGTGATTTCTTGACGTTTGTGTCCATGAGCAGTGATTGTGGACCAAGTAAAATGAAATCCTTTTCCACTGACCACGATGGTGTCTGTTAGTCGGTAATGGACATAAATGGTGAGGTGGTGTCATCTGCACATTGTGCCGAAAGCCTCCTCCCTTCTTCCGGTCATGTTCTACAGATCAGTGCGTTGGTGATATGCAAGCTGATTATGTGGTGTCTGTTTTTCATGGTTAAACATGATGCTTAAACTTGTGTTCCCTAATACTTTGTTTAGTACACACCTCATCGAGTAAGGAGAAAGATTTCCATTGAACTCAACTGAATTATTAGAAATTAATGAGTCTCATTTAATGAGAATATGCCATATTATTAGAGCTCTAATTAGGAAGTCATTGAATTAATTAACATATCAGTGTTCAGAAAATAATTAACATATGAATGCTCAAAAAGTTATTCTATTGAAAAGACACATGGAATATGCCCACTCTGGAAAAAAAACAAAAACCCAACAACTTCTTGTGACTTCAAGCAAGGAATCATCAAAATCAAAGTGCAGTTGCTCTAGGGTCAGCGCTAACCCGTGTGGGTCCAGGTGTAGCAGTAGAACTGCACACCTTGGGGTTTTAAATGGCTGTAATCTTTCAGAAGGTGACCACCAGGTTGTACTTCCAAGGTAGGTAACTCTAGGTGGATTTGAACTCTCAGCTTTTTGGTTACTAGCCAAGTCCTTAACGATAATGCACATAGCTATTCTACCACCCCTCACTGTGTACTTGTGCGCTAGGAGCTGTCCTGAGGGCTCCGCATGCCCCATCTGCTGGCCCCGCCCAGCTCTCGGAGATGAGACAGCATTTATTCACGAGGAAACCGGTGCTTGGGCACAGTAACAAGCTCAGGTGCTCGAGCAAGTGTAAAGAAGGAGGCCTGGGTCACAGCGTAGGCCTCCTGCGTTCACGGTCCCATGGCTTCCCCACACCTCGGTGTCAGAGACCACTTGGAAGACTCGGATCACAGGCAGCCCTCACGTAAAGCTTCCAGATGAATTCTCCCCATGTTACCATCACAGCTGGATTCTTCACCTTGACCTCTGCCTGGCCCCCCTCAGTCCTACCTCTCTCTTAAACGTAATTCTTTGGTCACACTGGCCTTTTGATGATTCTTTTTCTTTCTTTCTTTTTTAATTAAAAAAAAATGATCACTTTTTTTCTTTCAAACCATTTCGTTAGGACCGAATTCAGACATCATGCCGTTCTATACTTCAGTCATATCAAGCGATGCTACACAATTGCTACCACAATCAGTTTCAAAACATTTTCCTCCTTCCTGTACTCATTAATACCAGCTCCCCATTACCCTCCTCACGAGCCCTTATTCTAGTTATTGTTTTTTATAGATTCATCCATTCTGTTTCATATAGCAGAAAGCAGGAAAATCCATAACAGAGTCAAGAAAGCTACCAACACTGACAATCCGCTCATTTCGTAAACAGACCAGTCTATCCCCAGCCAGGGCCTTTGCACCTTCCTTTCTTCTGCCCTGGGAGTGGCCACCCTCCTGTCACATGTGAGGTCCAAGAAGTACCCACCACACAACTGCTCTGAGCTTCCCTGCAAAGGTGGCAATCTATCCACCCCCTCAGAGAGAGGGCACTTGGTAAAGGCAGCCAGAGACCAGGGCATGAAGCGTGGTCTCAGATTTCCTTCCCTCCCTTCTACCCCCACCCCAAACCTGCTTGACAGCCTGACAACCTTGATACACCAAACCACACGGTGGGTGGGAAACATCCCACCCGGCCAGTACTGCCACGAGATGTGCCCGGGTCATTGGCAGTGTGAGTGGAAAGGATGACTAGAGCCATTACCCCTCTCAGAGAGCCCCAGAGCTTCTTCCCAAGCCCCCCCTCCACCCCGTCAGCCTGCTGCCTTCACGGAGTGCATGGAAATTGGCAACTACAGTGTGGTGCTGTTCCCTGGACTCCTGTGCCTCGCTTTGGGGCTCCCTCTGCTTTTACCTTATTTAATTTGCTGAAAGTAATTTCTCAACTGTAAATATCACAGCTGTTGTGGAAAGCATTAATTGCACGTGATCACGTTACTCCCCTTTCTTGGATCAATTTATGTGTAATCTGTTTGCAGAGTTCTATTACTGTGAATATTTAAGGGAACGCAATGTGAAATAATCTAACCAAACATATTGGAAACATTTGTACTGAAATGGCTGGATGGTTTGGGGCAGGGAAGTATGCTTGTCTGTGGCAGACATTGAAAGAATGCTTCTTAAAATGCCCTACCCCAGAAGTCTGAGTGAAATATGGGTAATTTTTCTTTTGGGAGATCAATAAAATAACTATTTTCAAAATGACTTTATATTGACTGAAAGGTCAAAAATGCCCTGGGCATTGATCCCAGCTCCATAATCACTTTTTTTGTTTAGTAAGTTAGCCAGCTCTACACAGTTGAATGCAAAGAAATCCAGTTCATCATGTAAACAAAATATTTTTAGAGCACTTGACACCCCATCCTCCCTCGTTGCGCCTCACTGGGACTGCCCTTTCTTTGTGTAGGAAGTAGACCTGTACAGAGTGAACAGTCAGGACAAGCTGGGCCTCACGGTGTGCTACCGCACAGACGACGAAGACGACATCGGGATTTACATCAGTGAGGTAGGTATGCCCCATGCTTCTCACTGTCGAAACCACAAGGGAAGACACACACACGTATATACACATATACTTTTAAAAATCTTTTTCTATGTTGTGGGCTGCCAGTAAGTCTCATCCTTGCACATGTGGACCCCAGACACAAGAAAGCAAAACACTGCTAGTCCTGCACCAACCACACAAGGTGTGGAGATCAACTCATCCTGCTCTACGGGGTCTTCCTTAGCTGAGGTTCATAAGTAGATGCCCGGCCTTTCCTCCTACACCACCTGAGGCTGGAGGCTCCTGACTCAATCTGCGCAGCCTGATAGCAAAACGAAAGCGTTCACTGACACACAGGGCCACTGAGCAAGAATCAAACCCTGAGGTCTCCCTCGGGGAGGCAGGAGTTCTCCCAATGGCAGACCGCTGCCTCTTCCCCAGGGGAACCAGCCTCAGCTTGGGCTGAGGAAGAGGTTTGGGGGAGACACAGAGTACTTTGCTCCTCTCGGCACCCTCCACGGAGCCACAGCTTTACATGGGGGTTAACTTCTCAAGGCAGCACAAGAGGCAGAATTACCCTGGAGAAGCAGCAAATCGACCATAAAATGGAGCCGTTTACATGGTTGTGTGTGCTTAACCCTGAGGGAACAGCAGATTCACATTTCCCATCTCCTGTTCACTGAGTGGAATGGTGGATGGAATCACTTAGGCTTTTTAAAGTATTTCTCTCTGACCCATGTGTGCAGTACGCTTCACCTCAGTGCATTTTCTGAGGACAGAGAGAAGCTGCCTGGCTCTTCGTAGCGAAGACGAAGCAAAACAGCTTTCCATCTGGCTACTTGATCACACTCCTCCCTCCTTGCAGACATGGGTTTTGTCAAGAAAAGGACCTGTCTCTAAGAGCTGAACCAAATGCTGGTCTACCAGGATTAATAATGATCCCAATGGATGTACTTCATCCAGTGACCTGATGTCAAACCATTATTATTGTTTTGAGGGATGCACCATCCATACTCAATCCTATTTGGATCCGTTGTATCATTTCATGTTTAACATCATTTCCCAAGACTTAACTATATAAGCATGTGATAAAAATCATCAAGCGATGGATGATAGGTATGGATGATAGCGATGGATGATAGGCAACCTATCAAAGGGCACCCTTTCAGCTTCTCTGCACCCCCAGTTTGGTTTTGATTCTTTGTGTACAACAAAAGCCAGCTTCTCTGCACCCTCTTGGCCCTCCGGAGAGCAGGGACTGTGCACACGGTGCTGTAGGCCGGCTGCCAGGCAAGGTCTGAAAACAGGCCCTGGAAAGGGCGGGGAAACAGTGAGCCCCGTCTGTCTCTCCTTTCCCAACACTAAGACTTTCTATTCTGTGCAAGACAAAACTTCGTCAGGAACATGACTACAGGGGGCTTCGAAACATCTGTGAAAGAATGAAGTGAAAAGAGAGTAGAATTTCTCTGTGGCCTTTGTGGAAGCCCCTCCTGTTGGTTAAAAGCCAGCCTTTGGAAGCGACTGTTGATTTTCACACGTGGCTGGCCGAGCGCTAACACATCCCTGCTTGTTTCAGATCGACCCCAACAGCATTGCAGCCAAGGATGGGCGCATCCGGGAAGGAGACCGCATTATCCAGGTAGGTCAGCAACTGGAGGCCTCTTCTTGGGCCTGTCACCACAGAACGCCCTGGGGCCAATATGAGCTCGATGGGCGAACATGCCAAAGAGGACAAAGGGCAGGGATGGCAAATTCATGTGGATCCACCCCCACTGCCACTCACGGCCACCGCGTATCCGGTTTCTGAGGATATAAATCTTTGTTGGAGCGGACAGCCTCATCTTCCCCCAAGCCAGATAGGTTAAATGATGTGAGGGTCTAAGATGCTACAGAGGAAGAAGACTGCGCCCCGCTGACACTGGGCGAGAGTAGGTCTCCCTCAGCTAAAGAGGGCAGCCATCCTGGAGGCTGCTGCCTGGCAGAACTGGACCAGCTCACCTAATCTCTCATTCTGCTGGAGCCCAGAGCCACCCATCCGTGGGCCACATCATGCCAACACCCTGGACCTTCTCCACCAGAGTGACAGCTGGAGGATTAACTTTAGACTAAGTGTCGCACGTTTCATCTTGCCTTTAAAATGGGAACATCTTTGGAAAAGTTAGCAAATCGAATAATCCTTTAAACTGATTGACTCAACACTTAAGCCTTATAGGGAATTGAGTCCAGGGGGAGTTTCTGTGTCTGGAGCCCTGCTGTTCCTTCTGATCAGAGTGGGGCCATTCTCAGTGTCTGTCTGTCTTTTTTGTTTTTTGACAGTTTATTGGCACATAATCCACAAATAATACAATAATATCCATCATTACCACAATCAATTTTGGAACATTTTCTTCTTTCTTATGCTCATTGTTGTTAACACCCCATTTCCCCAACAACCTCCTTTGCCCATACCTATAAGAAACCATTAAGCCAGTTATTGATTTGCCTATCCTGCATTTCCTGTAGAGAAAAACACACAGAAAACAAGCACAACAGAGAAAATCCTCAATTAAAGAGAAAGTAGAAAATATTGAAAAACTAGAACAAGTTTAGAACGGGTTAAAAGGGATATCAATGATAAGGTGCTAAAATTTAACCTGCTAAATTTTAAATTATATCTGCCATACTCCACTTTCCAGTGCACTCTGATATAGCAAGGCTATTCACGTCCATGGTCCCTGGTCAGAGGAGGTTCACCAGAGGCTTAATCCACATGTATTTCTCCATCACTTAAAAACATCTTTTGGTCTCCTGCTTGTCACTGTACACACCGCCATGAATAAGCATCCTTCTTCACTGCCTTCTAGTTCTCCAGCCCGCAGCCAGCACCTCACTCCTCAGGGCTCTGGACTTGACGGTGACTGTGTCCTCAGTAGTCCTGCCCCTTTAGTTACTGGGGTTCTCCGTTAACCTTGAGTGTTGGGCACAGACATATTGCGAGGCTCCCCAGAGGACCCCCTGGGTTCCACTGCCCCTCACCTCAGTTGTGTGGAAGAGCAGGCCTATCTCCATTACCTCCTTGGTAATTAGGATCAGCCACTCCACCCTTCCAAGTCACCTCATTTGCTGGCTGTTGGTTCCCCGGCATTAAGGAGCCAGACAGAAGGCTGATCACCCTGCACTGGGACAAAGACCTTCAGACCAGCAGAACTCAAAGTTGCTGGGGCAGGAAACAAAACTCCTGTGAGGGGCTATCTGGTGTAACATAGGACGTGAGTCCCACTTGACCCTCGGTTCTGCCTAAAGTGGTAGCACCACACCGAGGACAGAGTGTGTTATCCTGATTCCATCCTGTCTGCCTCAGTGCTCACTTCCACTCCACCTCTTCCTTTCCAACCACACTGTCTACAAACACATGTTGTCATGCATTCTCTGATTCCTTTTCTGCACGGGCCTCAATGCATCGCTCAGAGGGTTCCCTGAATATGCTGTGCCTAGCTCCTCAGTGCTACCTTCCAGAACCCCTGCCGCTTCTGCCCAAGGAACTCCACGTTATCATTGGCTCCTAGGACGTAAATCACTTTGGCATCAGCAAAGCCTTTCCTCCTCTGTATAAGCCACCTAGAAGCTGTACATCCCCGCTGTGAGCCGGTGACAGAAACATTTTGCTAATTATGCTATTGTCAACCCTATCCTCTAACTCACCCTCCCTCCCTGCTTATGTTAAGATTAACGGGATAGAGGTACAAAACCGCGAAGAGGCTGTGGCTCTTCTAACAAGTGAAGAAAACAAGAACTTCTCCCTGCTGATCGCAAGGCCTGAGCTCCAGGTGAGTCCTGTGCCTGTAGGTGAAGGAGGGGTGTGGAAATCGCTCCAGTGTCTGTCAGCCGATGAATGCATAAACAAAACTTGGCAGACACACTGGAATATTACTGAGCCACAAAATGAAGTCCTTATCCTTGCCACGACCGATGAGCCATGCAAACACCATGCTGAGTAGAAGAAGTCGGTCACAAAAGCACAAATATTTTATGATCCCACTTATAGGAAGTATCAAGACTAGGCAAATGTCTAGACAAACATGGCTGCCCGGGGTGGTTGCTTATGTGACATCCGGTGTCTGTTTCGGGTTATAACGTTTGTGAAAGCGAGAGCTATGACAAATGAATGCCACTGAGAGAAAGACATGTGACATTGTTCACTACAGATTGGAAAGTAAGCCTGAGCTCCCCAAGCCTACTGAGTTCAGGCCAGGCAGTGTGAGTCAGAGACCACAGGGGTTCTTCATTCACCTTTGAGGTATTGAGAGGCTCCCCTAGAGAACTTCCCAGTTATTGGAAGTTCTCCACCAAGACTTCCACCAAGGGAATCCTGATCTCAGCCTGTTGATCCACTGAGACTGCCTCCACTTTAGGTGTGAAACCCCCACGAAAAGTAACTTAGGGGCGTCAGCATAGAGGGCGTCTGACACAGCACAGGTCATGAAGTTGGGTAGTTCCCTGGGGTCAGCTAACTTTTTCTTGAAGGTCTAGATAAAAATATATATATATAGTCGGTGGGCTCAATAAAGTAATAGCTGTTAGCTTGGGGGAGGCCAAATTAGTAATGCTAGGTTTTTTTGCCAGAGAGAATACTTTCCACACTAAAAGTGGTTTCCTTTTGCGGCCTGCTTAAACTTGCACGGGGGTAGCCAGCAACCCCCCTACCTAGTTGGCCTACTTCACTGAAAGCAGTCGATACAGATCAAAAACCTTCTTGTGGTGGAGGAGTGGGGGGGGGGGGCACACAAGCAAGCTCCCTTCATTAGGACAGGCTCATTCCGTGACACAGGGCAAACTGGTGGGTCAGCTGGCATCCGATAACTCCTGGAGGGAGCGCTAGACATATTAAGTCCCTGTGTTTAAAAGTAATAAATCAAAAGGCAACTCTGCTGCTTCCCCCAGCTGGACGAAGGCTGGATGGACGACGACCGCAACGACTTTCTGGACGAGCTGCACATGGACATGCTCGAGGAGCAGCACCAGCAGGCCATGCAGTTCACAGCCAGCGTGCTGCAGCAGGTAAGCAGGGCCTCTCTAGGGGCGCTTCAATGAAAGTCACGCTGCTCCTCTGCCTAGCTGAAAGGATGCTGCCCTGGCTCTTCAAGCTGAGCTATAATGCCAAGATGTAGCACCTTCTGAAACTTGGAGGCGCATGGGCCAGATTCACAAGACAACAACAGCCATTTGTTGTTGAGTTTGTTCCATCCGATGGTGACCCCACCATGTTCCAGAGTAGAAATGTGCTCCTATGTGGAGTCTTCCTGGCTGTGACCTTGTGATTGGAGCCATGGCTTAGCCATCGGGGCTCCATGGAGCACGGAGAGCAGCAGAACTAAAGCCCTGTTTCTAGAGCAAAGCAATCACCACTTAATCCAGGCTGCTTAGAGGACTAGCCGGGGGCTTCAAAAATATCATGGATAAATGGAGTTAAAATATCATGGAACTTTTCCATGACATTTTTTTAAGATCATTTTATTGGGGGCTCTTACATCTCTTATAACAACCCATACATCAGTTGCATCAAGCATATTTGTACATATGTTGCCATCATTATTTTCTAAACATTTACTTTCTATTTGAGCCCTTGGTATCAGCTCCTCTTTTTATGCTCCCACCCCCCCTCCCACCCTCATGACCCCTTGACAAATTATAAATTATTATTATTTTCATATCTTATTCCAGCCACTGTCTCCCCTTCCCCAAGGTTTCTTCTCACCTCCTCTCCCCACCTTCCCCCTACCCTCCTGGTATCAGTACTCCATTTCTGTTTCTGAGGGATTTATCTGACCTGGATTCCATGTGTCCTGAGCTCTTATCTGTACCTGTGTACATGCTCCTGCCCAACCCGCAGTGAAAGGCAGGATGGGGTCATGATGGTGGGAAGTGAGGAACTTTTGAAGGCTCCTCAAATTTCTTCACACCACCATTCCTATCATCAGAGTCATAGTAATCCATTCATTCTGTATGAGCTAAACAAGGCCATATGTGCTTCCATGACAAGGGTTTAGGCAATACTTCTAACCATTGCACAGATCAGAAAACTAAAGATCACAACAAGATTAAGGACGTTCCCAGGTTTGAAGTTGCCTTCAAGTCAGTTCTGACCCCTGTGCATCAGAGTAGAATCAGGTTCTATGGGCATTGCCAGCGGGCAGATCAACAGGCCTCTCTTCTGAGGAACCTCCGGGTAGATCTGAAGCACCCACTGTTTAGTTAGCAGCCAAACACGCAAACATTGTAAGTTGTTGTTAGTTTTCATTGACTCAATTCATGGCGACTATATGATGAGGAGCCCTAGTATCTATATCGGGGCTGCTAACTACAAAGTCATCAGTTCCAACCTACCACGTGCTCCACCAGAGAATGATGAGGCTGTGTGCGCCCATGACGATGTAGAACCTCAGAGTCCCTATGGAGGCCCCATGAGGCCCCATGGACTCAGTGGCAGTGGGTTTTCGTTCATGTATACTAGAACGAGACACTGTCTGCTGCATCGAGATACGCCCCTTGTGTAGGTCCCTGGGTAGTGGGAATGCTCAGCTACTGGCCTAAAGATTGGCTGTTTGAACTTGCCCAATAGTACAGTGGAAGAAAGGCCTGGCTATCTGTAAAGATTATAGCCAAGGGGGAAAGCCTGGGAAGCACTTCTACTATGTAATAAGTGAGTTGCTACGAGTTTGAAATGAGTACAGGGCAGCTGAATGGGTTTTGTTTTGGGCCCAGCCCTAATAGCAGACAAGAGGGCTTAGTTCATGAACCAATGGGTTTAAAAGATCATGGAATTTGTCCCACAAACTTTCTAAAGCCCCCTGGTACACTGGTCCTGAGATGAAAGAGCAAGCCGTGTCCCTGCGCCTCTGACTTCTGATCGCGCGTTGTCGCTATTCCTGTTTTGCAGAAAAAACACGAGGAAGATGGCGGCACCACAGACACCGCCACGATCTTGTCCAACCAGCACGAGAAGGACAGCGGTGTGGGGCGCACAGACGACAGCACCCGCAACGACGAGAGCTCGGAGCAGGAGAACAATGCGGACGACCCCACGGCGTCCTCCAACCCGCTGGCCGGGCAGAGGAAGCTGACCTGCAGCCAGGACACGCTGGGCAGCGGTGACCTGCCCTTCAGCAACGAGTCCTTCATCTCGGCCGACTGCGCCGACGCCGACTACCTGGGCATCCCCGTGGACGAGTGCGAGCGCTTCCGGGAGCTCCTGGAGCTCAAGTGCCAGGTGAAGAGCGCCGGCCCCTATGGCCTGTGCTACGGCAGCAGCCCCCTGGACGCCAGCAAGAGCGACCCCGAGAGCGTGGACAAGGAGCTGGAGCTGCTCAACGAGGAGCTGCGCAGCATCGAGCTGGAGTGCCTGAGCATCGTGCGCGCGCACAGGCTGCAGCAGCTCCAGGAGCAGTGCCGCGAGCCCTGGGGGCTGCCCGGCGGCGGCGGCGGCTTCCGGAGCTGCAGCAGCTTCGACGTCCGCCGGCACCAGCTGTCCGACATCACCGAGCTCCCGGAGAAGTCCGACAAGGACAGCTCGAGCGCCTACAACACCGGGGAGAGCTGCCGGAGCACCCCGCTCACCTTGGAAATCTCCCCCGACAGCTCCCTGAGGAGAGCGGCCGCCGAGGGCGGCCCGAGCAGCAGCGAGGGGGCCGCGGGGCCCGGCGACGCTTACGGAGGAACCCCAAAGAATCCGCTGGCCATCACGGAGGACCCTGAGCGCGGCAGCCCCAGCTACGGCCCCTCGCCGGCGGCCGAGCTGGCCCTCAGCCAGCCCCTGGAGTGCAGGGAGAGGAAGGCCAGCGAGGGCAGCCGGAGCCCCACCCCGAGTCAGAAGCTGGGGGGCTCCTACCTGCCCCCCTACCACCATTCGCCCTACAAGCACGCGCACATCCCGGCCCACGCCCAGCACTACCAGAGCTACATGCAGCTGATCCAGCAGAAGTCGGCCGTGGAGTACGCGCAGAGCCAGATGAGCCTGGTGAGCATGTGCAAGGACCTGAACGCCGCCAGCCAGGCGGAGCCGAGGATGGAGTGGAAGGTCAAGATCCGGAGCGATGGCACCCGCTACATCACCAAGAGGCCCGTGAGGGACCGCCTGCTGCGGGAGCGCGCCCTCAAGATCCGCGAGGAGCGCAGTGGCATGACCACCGACGACGACGCCATCAGCGAGCTGAAGATGGGGCGCTACTGGAGCAAGGAGGAGCGGAAGCAGCACCTGGTGAAGGCCAAGGAGCAGAGGCGCCGGCGCGAGTTCATGATGCAGAGCAGGTTGGACTGTCTGAGAGAGCAGCAGGGCGCCGATGACAAGAAGGAGATGAACATCATTGAACTGAGCCACAAAAAGATGATGAAGAAGCGGAACAAAAAGATATTTGACAATTGGATGACAATCCAAGAACTCCTAACCCACGGCACAAAGTCTCCGGATGGCACTAGAGTATACAATTCTTTCTTATCCGTGACGACTGTATAATTTACGCTCTGGTATTCTGTACAGAAAACAAAACAAACAACAAACAAAAAACTACCATTGAGGTAGAGATTCCTGCCTCGTTCAATGCGGCAAGCTTTTGTATATAAAATAAATACAGTCACCATGTGCATAGTTGGAGGTGTGAACTTTACAACGCTGGGTGGCATAGCTCTATTTTAACAGGAGGTAGACTGCCCTTACTATCTCAGAAGGCAATATTAACGAGTGAGCTTTTTTTCGAATAGCAATTGTACTTTTTTACTTGTTATCTTTTACATAAAGTGCTTAAATTTCTCAAAAAAGGCCTTTTATTAAGTATACTTTCACAAGATAATTTGTTGAAGCTATATTCATATAAGAAAAGTTACACATGCTTTTTTTCCTGCCGAAAACACAAAGACAACTGCCAGTATGTATTTTTAAAGGAGCCCTATTTTATAAAGTTGCTTTGCTAAATGTGTTTCATATGAGTGGCCATTAATCCATTACTTAGGTCAAGGTTTCCACTCAGACTACCAAACCCTTTAATACACATAACCAAAGCAGCAGTGTTTAGCCTTTGGAGAGATCAATGTAAGCATACTTCTGGTCAAGGTTCCCAAGAGGGTGTAAAGGCTAGTAATGGAGAACAGGCAGCAGCGTCACGGAAGATGAAAGCATGTTCGCAAGTAATGCCACCTGTCGGAAGAATTTGCATGTACAGGAAAGTTGTGGATGGAGACGGTTTGTGGAATTTAAAGTGCTCATCGTAGTAAATTTCGCTTTGTAGATTTGAAGGTACAGACTTTGACAAGCAAGTTCATGAAATCATGATTAGTTAACAAACGTTAAGAAAAATGAAGTTAAAATAAATTATTTTCTATTTGATATGCTTTGAAGTGATTCCTCATTTTGCAGTGGTGCCTCTGAAATAAACGCCTTTTGCAAAGTTTTCTTGGTTGTATTACCTATTCATAGGCTTCCAGTCTTCCTGTCTATCTCAGTTCTGCCCAGTGACAGAGGTAAAGTGAAAGTCTTTCAGCAAAGAATAAAAAAACAAATGTACCATGGACTCCTGCATGTCTGCCTGTCTGCCTGCTGGAAGGGGGAACTCCGGGTCACAGCAGTTGCTTTGCACAAAGTCAGTTCAACCGTCAGAACCAGCAGCCAGAGAAAGCTCGGCTGACCACTCCATGAAGACGTGCACTCTCCTCACGCACTGGGGCAATGCTTCCCTGTCCTACAGGCTGATGGGAGTAGGAATTGACTTGATGGCAGCGATTTTTGTGATTTTGTTGGGGTTTTTTTTTTGGGGGGGGGGGGCGTCTGCTAGAAAGCTTCACCCTGGCCCAATGTGCTCGAACCAAGGTAAGCTATGAGCAAGTTTCTCAGCCGGTCAGGGTTGTCAGGAGACCTCTGCAGCCATGCCTGCAGTGCTAACTACTAACTGGCTGTGGCTCGGCCCAGCTTTTCATTACTAAGATGTGTCTGAAAAGCAGACGATATTTTCAGAGTAAGGGGTCACACCAAAGTAGATGGGCTTCAAAACAAATAGCTTTCAGTCCCCTAACCTCAGACGCCACCTAAAGAATTGTCATTGAACTGTTTGTTACCCCATTCGAGTGTTCAAACCAATCTCAGCTGTAAAACCTACTTTAAAAAGATGTGTTAGTTGGGGCATTGTTTTCATTTGCCATGGTGCCAGACATCTGACTTACCCACTGACCTGCCTGAAAATTGGATTTAAATGACCAGGTGTTTAGGCAGCTCAGACATAGTCTCCTCCCACAAACCAGGTTCAAATAAAAAAGCTCTCCTGAGGACCAGAATCCTGAGACTAATTAGCAGTCACATTGGTGATAGAGCAGTTTAACGAAAAGAACATGCCGACATCCGGACTCCTCACTGTTAAGATGTCTGTTCATTACCTCTTCCAGGACCAGGAATGGCTGAGATAATTATGTCGGCTACATTCTCTTTATCAACTCTCCCAAATGAGGTGTTTTTTTGTGTGTGTTTTTTGCAAAAGGTAGACTATCAGGGACATGGGTTTTCAACTTCCAACAGAATTGAGTCCCTGACTCTCAGGGAAAACTCCCCTCACCAGCACGTTTGTCTTGTGCCCAGGCTTCCCATCAACGCTTCCGAGCACAAGCCCCAGCAGATGAATTATACATTACGCAGAGCCATGCATAAGCAGAGGGGTCTCATCAGGGAAATACAGCTCGCTTCCCTTGTACATTCTCCTGAAAGGCTCACGAATGAAGAGCTCTAACCCAAACACTCGTGAAGTCGGCCAACCAGGGGTGCTTCAAGGACGGACTTCTGGAGGACAGCTGGTGCCACAGACAAAAAAGGACCAAACTCAAGCCAGCTGCCATCTAGTCAGTTCCAACTCGGGGCAACCTCATATGCACCTGAGAAGACCTGTGCTCTACCAGACGCAGTGACCCCCTTTCCAGAAAGACCACCAAGTCTCTTCTGATGCACCAGTTGGTGGGTTTGAATCCCAACCTTTCATTCATAGTCAAGCACTCCACCACTTGAAGCACAGGGACTCCTGTGAAAGAGTGACAAGAGGTAGACCTGCAGAGTTGTTAATCACCAACTCAGCATAAAAATCTGGGGTTTAGGTTTTGATTTGGGGGGGTGTTTTTTTTCATTGAGATACACTTGCTCATGAGTTAGTAGCCCTAGCAGCACAATGGTTAAGCACTAAGTTGCTAACTCAGAGCTCAACAGGCCAAACTCTCCAGCCGATCCGTGGAAGAAGTGGCAGTCTGCTTCCATAAACATGGATCGCTTTGGTGACAGGTAAATACAATCCTGCAATAACAAAAACCTCTGAGTGGGTGTGTGGATCGACACACAAGCTCAAGAGGTGTGGGAGGGAGAATGGGACTATAGATTTGACAGAAGATACCTGTTTATGCTGCCAACATTTACATGATTATAGAAGAACATTAAAAAAGAAAAACCCTCCATTCTGACTCATATCAACTTTACAGGTCAGAGTAGAACTGTCTCTGTGCTTGGGAGACATTTTATAAGGGAGTAGAAATCCTCATCTTTGTCCCACTGAATTATTAAATGGAAAAGTGGCTTGCTCTATAAGGCCTTACCCCATTTAAAATGAAATGTTCAAAGAGAAAGCGCCATGGAGCACAGTTCTAGTGTGTCATTGCTGGGTGACCTGGAGTCAGATTCCGCTCCGGGACACCGGCTTCCTGGGTAATTGTGCACAGTAGGACCTCACCGCTGCTTGTTTGCTGCTGCAAGTCCCAGTGGTGGTGAGGGAAGTGAATAGGGAAAGGGAAGCAGATGGGAAAGGCTCCTTCTAACTTGTTTGGCTTCTCTATCCACGTTAAAAGGACTGTTACTGATGTGAATATGACTATCTTTTGTTCGGTCGAGAAAAGTAAAAATCAAACCCAGACTAATAATAATAATCAAGCAGCTCCATCATTTATAGGGAAAGTTGACAAGGTAGTATTTGGTTTAAAAAGAAAGAAAAGACACCTTGGAGACCCTATGGAGCAGTTCTGTGTTGTGCTGTAAGGTAGCTCTGCGTTGGAAGTCAACTATGGGTTTTTTGCTTGTTTGGTCACAATTGACAGTGTAACATGGGGCTTCACAAAGCTATCAGATCAACATCTTCAAAGTCATTTCTTCACCAGTACGCTGGAGAATCCGAAGGTAAAGACACACAGCTTATAATGATCATTTTAATCAGGAACCCCACATGTGGTCGCCCTTTACTTTTCACCGAATACTCAGGGGAGAAGGAGGTGGCCCTCACCTGCACAGGGTAAGTCGTACGCACTCAAGCCGCCTCCTCCACCAAAACACACACATTCCCCAGTGGAGGCTTGCAGGGAGCCGAGCCTGGAGGCAGGAACCTGCCATTTCCACAAGCTCCCGAGGGGCTCATGGGAGGGCATATTTCTTGCTTGTGGTCAAGTTGACCAGTTTTCCTAGATAATGGTTGCGCATGACAATTCGTACTTTCTGTTCCAACTGACATGAAACCTTTTATCGCATAAAAACAGAAGGCCCATTGTAACCAACAGGCCAATCCACCACCTCTACTTCATAAACTTTAAAAAATCTTCTGGGCCCATTTAAAACTGATGGACGCTATGAATTCATTCAGTGGAAAAATGCACATAGATTAATACATAAGCTGTATATGATTTCAGGGACTTTAGAGGTTCCCAAAGTCCTTTCAAAGGTTTCCTCTCAAGGTACAAAGAGCTGCATTTAGGGGGTGGGGGGGAATGATAGCTCTACTCCTTCATTCAGGAGCCCTGGTGGCAGAGTGGTTGCAAGTTGGACTGTTCGCAGCAAGGTTAGAGGTTTGAAACCACCAGCTGCTCCTCAGGGGAAAGACTAGACTCGAGTTACAGTCTCAGAAACCCATAGGGGAAGTTCCCCCCACTCCTACAGGGTCCTTGTGCGCCAGAATAAACTCAATGGCAGTGAGTGTGTTCTGAGTTACTTCTTTAAACTTAAATTAAAAAATTTTTAAAGATTTTTAGAACACTAACTTGAATGCCTATTTTTTAACATCAAAGGATAGCTTTTTCTTATTAGAACCATACTCCGTTGGACAGTTAAAACTCAAGAAAATATGAACACCTTTACCCTCTCAACACTGCACTAAGCACATATCCCATAGTTCAATACATTTAGCCATGATGTTCAAAGATCCTGGTTCTCCACAGCAGCCTGTTCATGGTGGCAGCTGCATGGCTCACGTTTAAGTTCTTCTAAAAGACAAAGGGAATGAGAATTCACTGATCATCTGCTTCCATGTTGTCTAGGGCAGCAGCCACTGGCCATGCAGGCTATCAAAGCCTTTCTACAATATGCTGATATGATGAGACCCATTGTTTCAAAGACTTGTTGGGTGGGGGGAGTTATGTGTGTGTGTATGTGTGTTTAAAAATAAAGAGCAATATTCCAATTATCTTGGGCATGTTGAAACGATGTTTTATCTGTTGGAATCATTAAAATACCAAGTTCACCTTTCCTTACTTTTTTATGTGGCTACTAGCAAACTTGAAGACTACCCATGGCTTACCTTACATTTCCCTTGGACAGTGCTCATGTGGAGAGCGTCTGGTATTGATGGGCTAAGCACTCAACTTGATCCTCTCACTAAACCCTGGAGGCAGTTCTGGGAGGCAGATGGTATTATCAACATTTTAGACTCAGATTAAAAACCCTGCCCAGATGAGTAGAGAGAGGCAATTTAAATTTGCATCTGCCTGACACCAAACCACTTAGCTGTCACTGCTATGCCTTCCCCTATTTATCAAAGAGGAAGACCAAGGAGCCTGGCTGGGTAGTGGTTATGTGTTAGACTGCTAACCCCAAGATTATCAGTTCAAAACCATCAGCCACTCGATGGAAGAAAGATGAGACTTGCTTCTATAGAGTGTTATGGTCCATAACTCTTTATAGTCTTGACAGCCCGCAGGGGCAGTTCTAGCTTGTACTATAGGGTCCCTGTCAGTCAGAATCGACTTGATGGCGGTGCATTTAAGCTCTATTAATATTTGTG